CTACCTCCACAGTGAATTCAAGGCCAGCCTGTGCTACAGAGTACAAAAACACAAACAAAAACAACCTAAAACAAAACAAAACACCCACAAACAACAAAACAAAACAACACAACACAGCACACAGGATCAATGAATTGAAGAGGTGGTTCTTTATAAGAATAAGAACCTTAGCCAATCTTACCAAAAACAAGGAAAGAAGACATAAATTAATGTAATTAGAAATGAAAAAGACCATTTGCAACTACTTCACAACTTGTATGCCAATAAATTGGTGACCAAGAAGAAATGGAGACATCCCAAGATACATATGAATTAGCAACACTGAGTCAAGAAGACTTAAAAATCCCAGATCTAATAAGAGGAAATGAAATTGAAGCAGTGATAATAAAAAACAAAATAAACAAGCAACTGAGAAAAGCCCAATATCTAATGGATTCACTGGTGAATTTTATAAGAACTTCAGAGAAGAGCTAATGCTAATATTCTTTAAACTCTTTAATAAAATTGAAAGGGAAGGAGTTCTCCCAAAGTTATTCCTGGAAGCTAGCATTAACCTGTTTTCAAAGCCAGACAAGAATTCAACCAGAAAAGAGAACTACAGGTCAATCTCTCTAATAAACATAGATACAAAAATCCTCAACAAGACAGGGGCAAACAGTGCAACAAATTAACAAAATGACCATATACTATGACCAAGTAGGATTCATCCCAGGGATGCAAGGATGGTTCAACACACACAAATCAATAAGTAAACATCAGTCAGGACAAAATAGAAGCAAGGACAAAAATCACATGGTCATTGCAATAGATGTAGAAAAAGCCTGTGACAAACTCCAACACCCTTTCATGATAAAAACTGAAGAAAATAGGTATAGAAGGACATTATTTCAGTTCGATAAAAGCCATTTATGACAAACTTATTATCAATGTCATATTAAATGGGGAAAACCAGAAAGCTTACCTTCTAAAATGAGGAACAAGACAAATATGTCCACTCCTGTTCATCATAGTCCTTGAAACATTCGCCAGAAAATCTGGCTAGAAAGAGAAATAAAAGAGATATGTACAGGAAAGGAAGACATCAAATTATTATTCTTTGCAGATAACCCAATTCTCTACTTACAAGGCACAAAAACTTTCACCAAAGTTGCTTTTTTAAAAAAAACTTTCACCAAGTGTCCAAGAATTAATAACTAAATTCAGCAATATAGCAGGATAGAAAATAAGCACACAAAAACCAATAGTGTTTCCATGCACTAATAATGAAATCACTAAGAAAGAAATTAGGAGCCAGGCGTGGTGATGCTTGTCTGTAATCTCAGCACTTGGGAGGCTGAGGCAGAAGGATCGCCATGAGTCTGAGGCCAGCCTGGGCTACATAGTAAGGCCCTGTCTCAAAACAAAAAACATACATGCATACATCTAATCTGTGTCATTTCCCACCACGATCGACAGGGATTATCCACAGTAGTCATTTCTTTTTAAAAAAAAGAAAGAAAGAAGTTAGGAAAACCATACCTTCCACAATAGCATCAAGAACAGAAAATCAAATATTTAAGAGCTAACCTGGCCGAGGAGATAGCTCAGTGGCACAGTGCCTGCTTGGCAAGTGCGAGGTCCTGAGTTTGATTCCTGGTGCCAAAAAAGGAGAACTAACCTAATGAAGGAAGTGAAAGATCTGTACAATGAAAACTACATCACTCTGATAAAAGAGATTGAAGAGGACACCAGAAAATAGAAAGATAGCTCATGTTCCTGGATATGCACAAGCAATATAGTCAAAATGACTAAACTTCTCAATCTGATGTATAGATTTAATGCAGTCCCCATTAAAATACCAATAGCGTTGTTTACAGATCTACAGAAAACAATTCTAAAATTCATATGGAACCAGAAGAGTCCCAGAATAGAAAAAGCAACCCTCGGTAACAAAAGCAAAGCAGAAGGCATTGCAACCCCAATATGAAGTTATATTACAAAACTAAAAGCAGCATGGTACTGGCACAAAAACAGACACGAGGATCAGTTGAATAGAGGAGGAAGCAGAAACAACCCCAGGCACATTCAGCTGTTTGAGCTTTGGCAAAGGGGTAAAAAATATATGATGAAGGGAAGACAGCCTTTTTAACAAATGATGCTGGGAAAACTGAGTATTTAAGTGCAAAAGTTTAAGTCTAGAGCCATATATCTGGCCATGTACTAAACTAAAATCAAAGTGAATCAAAAATCCAAATGTTAAAACAGAAATACTTAATCTGCTGGAAGATTAAATAGGTAAAACTCTTAAAGATACAGGTATAGGCAAAGACTTTCTGAACAGAATCCCAGTGGCACAAAAAATACTATTGGGAACCAACAAATAGGATCATATCAAATCAAAACGTTTCTGTACAACAAAAGAGACAACCAACCAAAGGGAATGGGACAAAATTTTTGCCAGTGATTCGTTGGACAGAGGACTAACATCTAGGATATATGAAGAACTTCAGAAAAATTAGACCTCCCCCAAATAAAAGGCCCAATTTAAAAAGTGGGCAACTGAAATGGATAGACACTTTTCACAAATGGGAAAAAAATACATGAAAAAGTGTTCAGTGTTACTGGCCATTAAAAATGCAAATTAAAATAACACTGAGGTACTATCTTACTCCAGAAAGAATGGCTATCATCAAGAAATCAAGTAATAACAAATACCAGTGAGGCTGTGGGGGAAACGGGAACCCTTTTACATTGTTGGTGGGAGTGTGAACTAGTACAACCACGATGGAGGTCAGTGTAGAGATTCTTCAAAAAACTAAAAATACAAATTCCATTTGACCCAGTTATTTCTTTCCTAGGTGTCTTCCTAGAAGCGTTAAAGTTATCCTATTACAGTGGTGTGTGCATACCCAGGTTTAGCTGCAATTTATAACAGCTAAATTTTATATGTCCATGTTAGTTACTTTTCTCTGTGCTGAGACAAAATACCCACCACCCACAAGTTAAGGGAGGAAAGGTTTATTTGGGTTACAGTTTGTAGAGCTTTCAGTCCATAATCTGCAGGCTCCCTGGAAGGTTGGCTCATGGCAGAGGGGTGACAGTCATATAGGACAGAAGGTAGCAGAGCAGCGAGGGACCTTAACAGCATCTTTTGGTCCCAGTTATCTTACCCAGACTACTTAGGGTGTGTAGCACTGTATCAGTCACGGTTTTACTGGAGAAACAGATATAACACAGGATGTACAGATTATAAGGAATTACAAGATTGGCTTACGACGGTCAGCCAGAGAGTTGTATGGGGAAGTGTGCAGAAGCTGTCTGCACACTGAAGACCGAAGGAATCAGTCCAGGGTCTGGAGTTCACTGCAGAGTTCC